CCACCCCCCTGCGAGGAAACCTTTCTAGAAAGCCCTCCATCAGGGTGCTGGCTGGACACCAGAGGGCCAAGGTGGTGGACACTCACTGCCCTCGCCCTGCCCCAGGCTGCAGATCCGGGAGGCTAGAGTGCAGACAGGGCCTCCTGAGGTGGGAACGGCCCCAGGAGGGGTGTGATGGCCATGCGTGCAGGGTGACCTTCCTGAGGGACTTCTACCTGGGAAGGCCGGAGGCACCTCTGTGGGTGCCCTGCTCATCAAGGTCCGGAGGACAGAGGGCCTCCAGACTCAACCCCGGGCTGGCCGAGCCAGGGCTCCCGGGCAGGCACCAGACAGTGAGGACGGGAACCGGTGAGGTCAGCATGTTTCCAGGCACTCCCGGGCAGGACAGTCTCCGACCAGGACGCAGAGGCCACGCAAACCATTCCGGCCACCTAGAGCCGCTGTGCCGTGGCCCTGCAGGCCCCTTGGCCAGACCCACCCTCCTCGACTTCTGGGTCTTAGGGTCAGGCCAACTTCTGGGTTTTTGATTAACAGAACGTGTTGGTCACTGAGAGGGACCTTTTGAGGACACTGGCAAACATCTTTGGGGGCAGCTTAGCCTCCTGCAGGCCTGTTCTGAAGGCAGAGGGGGAGGGAGAAAAGCCCTCCCTCTGATGGGGTGAGAGAGCTGGGATCTCCCCTTAGGACCCTGAAGGCCAGGAGAGTCAGGGAGGGACCCAGGAGGGACCTGGCCACACTCTGATGGGCACCTGCTGGGCCCATTTTCTGGGCCCACGCCCCTCCATAGGTGCCCCAGGAGCCTGACCACAGGATAGTTCCAGAGACAGACGGAAACAAATTGAAGGACTTCCCCAGGATGGGGACGGACTGACGGGTGTGAGGGAGCACGGAAACCAGCCGGAACGGTCTCCTGACTGCCTGGCAGAAGCTAGAGGAGGCTGTGGGCTACTGTCTTGCTGCTTCCCCGGTGCTGCAGATGACTGGCCCGAGGAGGGTCGTGACCAGAGCGACACTGAAATGCAGCCAGAGGCTGCTGGGACGGGCTATGACCCAGCCGCAGAGGGTAAGGCATGAGCACACGCCACGGAGCCTGCCCGTGCAAACCGGGAGCGGCTCCCTGGAGGACAGGGCACAGGGCTGTGGCCTAGGGACGGTGCCCAGCTTTCCCTCCACGCCGACACTCTTAGAACAGACCTGGGCATGAACGCCTGGCCCACGGCCCTCGATGCAGCCCACTGGTCAGATCAGTGAGGCGGGACTAGCTGTCGTGGGCGATTCCTGTGTCTAAGTCTCACAATATTTAACTACTAATCAAAATTCCCATTCAGGAGAGCACAGGGCGCCCGGGGGCTGGGAGCCCCAGGCCTCTCTACACCCGGGTAGGCCTGGCTCTTGCTGGGTCCCCCCAGCACCCCTAGGAGCCTGGCACAGCAGAGGCCCATTTCACAGAGGAGGAAACCGAGGTCCAGAACTTAAAGGTCTTGCCCAGGGCCACCCAGGTGGGGACGACGCCTGGCTCTCTGACTGTCCATGTCCTATCCCCATGACAAGGCTCCCAAGGTCAGACGCTCGCTCTGCTCACCCCGCGGAGCCTGCAGGGAGGAGCCCCCGCCTGGCACAGGCGGGAGGTGTGGAGCACCTGCTTGGGGCGTTTGTAGCCCAGCGTGTACGGCCCTGTGGCTGGCGACCCAGCCACCCACTGCCTCTGCAAAACAAGGTGACCAAGGCCAGCAAGGAGAAGCTGCGGCTGGCGGACCAGCGCAGGAAGAAAAGAGGGCCACGGCCTTTGTTAGGCAGGAGCAGCTTCACCAGGCCCAGGCGGAAGGAGTCAGGCCAGCGGCTGGAGACCCTGGCCCATGAGAGGAGGGGAAGGGGCTGCAAAGGGTGAGGTCGCACTCAAGCAGGCTCATGCTGAAGAGCGGTGACAGCCCAGGAGCCCCCCAGGAAGACAGGACGTGGCCTGGGACCAAGTTCCCTGGAGACCTTGTGTTCTCTGCACACCTGTCCGTGCCAAGCCCCCTGGTGACAGTCAGTGCCCTGGATGGAGAGAGGAAAGACTTTCCAGGCCAGGGAGGGCATCTGCAGACCTCAGTGTGGGTGGTGGGCAGCCCTGGCTGCTGGCCCTGTGCTCCAGGTAGGCTCAACAGTGAGCCCAGGCTGCGGGAGTCCCACGAGAGCAAGCAGCCTGCAGCCCTGCCGAGCAGGGACAAGAGGGTGGCCCTGCCTCTGCCTGCTGGGGGGAGTGGCACACCACCCCCTCTTGCCAGGTAGCATTGGCTGAGGGCAGACAGCCACTATGGGGGGGATCCAGGTGGTTGAGAGCCAGTTGGGGTGCCTGGGAGGCAAGGGCAGTGAAGGCGGGGACCCCAACAGCTGCCATCACACATACCTGGACCACGGGGGCCATGTGCCCCTCAGATGTGTTCAAGAGGGACACTTAGGAGCCTCCACAAGCACTTGCCCACCGTCCAGGAAGGATGACAGGGGCCATTTGAGCAGGACCTGCTACCAGGCCCTGTCCCCAAGTGGCCGGGCCCTCAGGTTGCACAGGGCTGACGCCTTTCATTCCTAGCTCAAGGCCTCGTCTGCACACCTCAAATGCTCCCAGCCTGTGTGGCCAGGCACCCCGTGTCCTCCCAGCAACTCTGCCCTTTGGGGACCTGCCATCCCACGCGCTGCTATTCAGAGGCAGAATCTAGGCCTCGCTTCGGTGGGGGCCACACGCCCCCGCAGGAGCCAGGCCCAAAGTGGAAACGCTGTGTGGTGTTGCGGCAGGAAAGCCGCTGCTTCTTCCTCTGCCCCAAGGAGATCAGAGGACCCCAGAGGCAGCAGGCCCAGGGCTGACCGCCCACGGCGGGGCCTGCTTCTGTGTCTGTCCCTGTCCTTTTCTTTCTGGCCCTAGGACTACAGGGGAGCGGGGCTGGTCATGTGGGGGAGTGGGGCAGTGGTTCCAGCAGCAGGTCATCTGTTGCCCCAGGATCTGCACCCGGAGGTCACGAGGGCACAGCAAAGTGCTCTGCGACACTCAGGAAACCGGCTTCCAGAGCGGAGGGGGGGGTGGGGGGCAAGACCCCCAACCACGGTCTCGCAGCTTTCAAACTTCTTGAAACAAGTGGAAACTTTTCCTTGCATAAAAGTAGACACAGATCTTCAAGACACAAAATGGTCTGGGGAGCAGGGGTGGGTGGGGAGCCCTCTGCACCACGCGGCTTCAGGCAATGCACGCTCTGGAGGCCGCGCTGTCCCCAAGCTCCCGCCTGGTGATGCTAGTGTGCAGGAGCCCCAGGACCTGCTGCTAGGGACCCTCAAAGACCAGGAGCTGAGGCTGGCGAGAGGCAGCACAATGACCCTGGGTTCTCAGAGCCATTCTCTCTCCCCTCAAGCAGGAGCCGGCACGCTGTGAGCTAGGGCTGCCCGGCCCCCAGCGCACCAGGCTGGGTTGGTGCTAGGGCTGGCACTGATGCTCTTGGAGCCAAGATGGCCACATGTGTAGTGAGAGCCTCAGAGGCCCTGCCCTCACAGCACCAGCCCAAGGTGGGGTTGCCGAAAGGAGTGCAGGGGGGAAGGGTCAGGGGCGCCAGGGTCAGGGGCGCCAGGATCAGGGGCACCAGGGTCAGGGGTGCCAGGGGCAGGAGGTTGAAACCTAGGGACCCAGGCTCTATGGGCCAGGTTTCACCCAGGAGACAGGCAAAGGTCAGCGAGGCCTGGGGTGTTCTGGGGCCTCTGGGGGCTCTCACTACACATGGGGCCCATCTTGGAGTTCCAATGCCAGCCCTAGCACACCTGCCCCCAGCCCCTGGCCTGGGGCTAATGACTAACCAGGCTCCTGACCAGCAAGGGGCTGGCTGCTGGGGAGGGGAGCAGCCCCACTCTCTGGATCTGTTCCACCTGGGGACACATGCTACAATCCTGACTCTACAGGTGACCACACACAGGCTTGAGACCAGGTACAGGTAACCACTTCCCACAGAATGGCTGCCCTTCGTGGCTCAGGGTCCACCCATAGAGGAGGCAGCTCAGGACAGCCTGGACACATGCCAAGTTCAAGAGAAGAGGAGGCCTGGGGAGGCGGAAGGAGGGTCTCCCAGAAGAAGCAGGGTCCACCTGGGGTTCTTCCCCCAGGGAGGGCCAGGGGATGGCAGGTGGGGTGACCCAGGACCGTGGCCAGGGAGGTGATGCTGGAGCTTGGAAACCCTTGCTGGGGGCTCTTAGGGCAGTGCCAGCCACACATGGAACGGCCGAGCTTACCCAGTGCTTGGGACCCCACAGGCTGGCTTGAGCCTGACGTTGAGACAGGGAAGGGCGGCTTGGATGTAAAGGACCTGGGCTGGCCAGCACCTGGGTGAAGCAGCCCTGCACTGTCCCCCAGGGCTTCCAGTCCAGTGACCCCGGACGCATCAGTGGCTCTGGCCCTAGCCAGCCCCTCCTGGACCCCACGGCCCTAGGGCCTGGACAGGGAACTGGATGGGCTGCCTCCATGGCTGGGTTGGTGGCTGGAGGAGGGGCAAGGGAAGCCAGTGGCCACCTGGCTGCCGTGGCTCAGCAGCAGAGACCTGGGGGTCCTCTCCAGGAAGAGGGCCTCATGCCCCGACGCTGGCCTGCCCCCACTGGCCTGAAACCTACTGGAGTTGGAGGGCTTCCTGACACGACCAGGGGTGGGGTTCACCCTATAAACTGGAGACCAAGTCTTCTCACCCCGGTTCTGCAGCCACTGGTCAGCCCCAAGGCTCCCCACCCTCTGGCCTCCTGGGGAAGCTGGCCACCCACCTATAATGGGAAGGAGGAGCGCTGTGGCACGAGGCCCCTGCAGCAGGTAGCCCAGCTTTAAGTAGCCCCCAACTCCTGGCGCTGCATTCACCCCAACAGAAACCCTACGCTATTGGACCCAAATATTTACCCCAATAGTTGGGCATGGAAAGTCCTGCTAGAGCCACCAGGCTCCCCTAGCAACCCCCTTCCCTTCCCCCAACCTTTCCCCAGCCCCCATGTGCCATATTCACCCCAAGAGGCAGCACATCAATCCCGCCACTGCAGGCTGCAGGCTGGAGAACCAGGTGGGCAGGAAGAGGCAGCCCGTCACTGCTGGGAGGACAGGGAGGCCAGGCCTGGGAGCAAGGGGCCGAAGCATTTGCTCTCAGCCTGAGAGATGCATCAAGGGCCTCTGGGTATTCTAGATCATTCTGTGTTGGCTTACAAGGCTCATGTCCTGAGCAGTAGGGACCTTGTCTTACTATCTCAATGACCTGAATGACCTTGGTAAGGCTGTGATGGCCAGGCCCACCCCAGCCTCTCTCAATGGTCACTGGGCCCCACCCCCGACCCCCACAGGCCTGTGACCCAGTGGCAGGGATTCTTTCTCTGGTCCCCTGGGGCAGCTCCAGTCTGACCCTCATCTTGGTCCTGCAACATTCTTTACCTTGGAGGGCAGGTTCTCCAGCTAGCACAGTGGACAAAGAAGTCCAAACTGGAGTCGCTGTTTTATCCTGTAGGACCTCTCATCCAAGCCTGGCCCTGGAGATCGGGCCAGCCTCTCAGCTGGGACGCGCACACGGGGCAACTCCACACTCACGCACAGGGCCTGGGGCCCAGGCTCCACACTGCGATGCTAAGAGAACACCACAACCAAGTCCAAATCGTTGCGCTCCCCCCAGCCACCCCAGGCCCTTTCCTATCTGCTCATGCATCTCTCCAAATGAGCAGCAGGGCTACCCTGCGGCGGCCCACACCACCTGCCAACCCTGCGCGCTCCTAAGCAGCCCAGTGGCCTCACACTCAGGGTCTCAGGTCCTTTCCCTTGAGCTGCAGGTTGAATATATCCCGCGGCTGCCACCCAGAGCAATGCTCTTCCTATGTGGCAGACTTGGACTGCACGGGGACATCCCAGGGCAGGCAGCATGCCTGTTGGCCGTCGGGGGCAGTGACACTGTCCTACACCATGACACATGACGTGCTCACCTGGGCCTGCCAACCCTGAGCCCACGGCAGGTCTGCACTGGACAGTACCCTTACCGCTGGAATCACCGGATCTGGTCTGCAGCACACACCCTGGGCTCAGCCCCTCTGCAGCACCCTGTCCCCTGTCCCTCCTCAGCACTGTAATCTCACAGGCTTCCCTGGGAGAACCACTGTATCTCGGCTGCGGGGTGGGGCACCGCCACCACCTGCAGTGGGCCTCCACCTGTGCCATGTGTGAGTGCGGCACTTGCGTGCACCCCGAGCCAAAGAATGTGGGGAGGGCGACTCCCCAAAACACAGCTGCCAGAGACACACAACAGCCTTCAAACCACCGGCCTTCAAAACACACAGCCCTTCCACTGTCCCCAGGCTCAGCCCTTGGGGTCATCCCTGGAGCTCAGAGGGGTTCCCAGAAGCCTGCATTTGAGGAGAGAAACTGACCCAGGAGTTCTCTGCATGGTGAATCAGTCGGTGGGGGTAGGGCGTGGCATTCAGTATCTGTAAAAACGCCAAAAGCAGGGCTTTGAAGGACTCAGTGGGCCCCTGGCCCACTCTGGGCTAGCCAGACCACTGGGCCCAGGAGGAGCCCATGTTTGCTATCCAGGATCACTGCTGCGTTCAACCGTGGTATAGCAGCCTCCCTGAGACAAGGCCCAGGACTGCAGGCGGGAGCACCTGCTCCAAGCTTTGTCACCTTCCAAAACAGCCTGGTGAGACCAACCAGACAGACACGCAGCAGTAGCCTCCCTGGCTCCCGCCAGCCTGCCCCACGCACGTGCAGGCAGACAATGGATCTGCAGGTCCAGAGCCTGAAGCCTGGAGGGGACCAGCCCAATGACACCCCCTGGTCCCCAGGTCTCCCCTGACCTGCAAAGCCCCACCCTATTCTTCCTGTTCTTTTCCAGTCCTGTCAAATTCAAGGGTGAACAAGGGCCTGTATCAACAAGGAAGTGGGGGTGAAGATGTAGCACAGACAGACACTCTGCTGCTCATCCTCAGAGAGGCAGGTGTCTGCTCCATCTACGACCTGAATCCACCGGGGTGCACACAGACCTAAGACAGTAATGTCCATCCCAAAGGCCATGACCCCTTCTCCAGGACCTGATGCCCCTACCCCTGCTCCTGGCCTGCAAAAGGTGTTCTGAAGGGTAGTGGGCAAAAGGGCAGACACATAAATTATATCTTAGGTAGACAGAGAGTAACTAGTTGTAAGACCCCGACAGCAAAGGAAGAGAAATGTAACTAGTGACCCCAGCAAGGCAGGCCAGCTCTGCCCTATTGGGTGAGAGGTGGAGAAGTCCATCTCTCCCTGGGGAAGGGCCTGTCCTTCACCCCAGGAGCACTAAAAATTCTAACTCCAGCTTCTGACAGAAAACAGCTGTCTGGGCTGGGGGCGGGGTCACCTGGGAAGCCGGCTGGGACCTGCAGTTGGGAGGAGCCCTGGCCCAGCCCCCCCCCTGGCTGCTCCACCCTCCTCCCACCCCAGAATCCTCAAGTGCCCAAGAGGCCCGGGAGCCTCAGCCCCCGCAGAGTGTCTGCCCTCGGCTCTCTCCCTGTCTTTAGAGGCTCGGGGCCTGGAGAGGAGGCAGTGGTGGGCAGCGGCCTAAGGCAGGGGTCCTGGCTGCAGCTCACAGTCCAGGCTGCCCCTCGTTCTGTGGACCCAAACACAGTCCCCCTGGGAACAAGCCTGGAGCTGGGATGCCACACACCTGATCCCAGACCAGGATCCGGACACCTCCTGGTTGGTTTGGCTGCGCTGGGGACACAGCCCCTCCACCCCCAAGGTCTGCAGCCGTCCAGTCCTTCCCTGCCACCCTCCCGCCCTGTCTTGGCCCCTTTAAGCCCCGCCAAGTGGGGAGCCAGGCGGGGCGCAGCCGCTCCCACACGGGCGGCGCCCGCCGCCAGACGCTCCCGCACACCGGCTCCCCGCGCCACGCCGGCGAGGCTCCCGGCGCTGGCGCCCGTCAGAGTCCGCGCGGCTGCGCCCGCCCGGGGTCCCCGGGTCTGCGGCGCGGGGCTCCCCGACCACCCGCGGGGCCCGCTGGGCGCTGGGGCCTGCTCGGCGCGGCTCGCCCTTCCCGGCCCCTCCCGGCCCCGCCCGGCGCCGCGCTCCTACCGTGCGGGCTGCGCTCGGTGCTCCGGGCCGGGCCGGCCGGGCGCGGGGCTCAGCTGGCGGCGCGGCCCGGCTGCAGGAAATGCCAGAGGACTGATCCAACCGCGCGAGGCGGAGCGAGGGAGCGGCGGAGGGAGGAGGCGGGAGGGAGGGCGCGGCGGCCGCAAAACCCGGCGGATCCGCGCTGGAGCGGCGCCCTGGGGACCCCGGCGTCCGCCCGCGCCGCCACCAGCGCTCGGCCTTTCCGCGCCCTTCCGGCGGGAGCTCTGGGCCCCAGCTCACCTGCGGCCCGGGTGGCGGCGCCGCGCCCAAGGCTTGGCGGGGTGGGTGAGCCGGGTCAGTCTGGTGGGGTTCTCACGTTTAGGGGCTTAGGAGAAGCCCAAGGTCACAAATGTAGGCGCACCCCACCCCACACTCCCCAGAGCTGTGGATTCCTTCGCTCCATTCCTGAGCCCAAGTAACTGTCACCCCTGCCAACCGCTAGAAGCCACCAGAGCACGGGAGGACCCACTGTCCTGCATTCCTGTTCAAAGGGACCCTTCTGTCAGACTCCAGGTTTCCAACTGATTAACTGGTCGCTTCAGAAACTGACACCCGTGTACTAAGTCCTGTTTCCCCCTCACTTCTCTTTGCCCCCTTAGATCTTTCTAGACCCCTCCAATTGTCTTACGTGTAAGACTTACTCCAATTGCTCTAAATGACTTTCAGAGCTGAGTGCAGGTGACCTCCCAGTCCCTCCCCTGAAGGCCTAAAGTGGATGTGAGCTCCTGGTTGGTGCCAAGGTGTCCCCAGTGTGGCCCCCTGCCAGGTCCTTTCCCTACTATCAGTCCCAAAGGGCCCAGCCACACTGGGAGCTGAGCACATCTCCTCTGCACCCCCAGATGCAGGTGGGACATGGGAGGGCATGGAGCCTGTCCCAGACGGAACCTCAGAAGGGACTAAACGGACCCTGGGAAGTCTCAGCCTCCTCCCGGTCTGTGCATTGCCATGGATACATCCAGGGTGCCCCTAAGACTGGTGATCATGGGGTGCTGAAGGACCCCTGGCCAGGCTCTAGAGGGAGAGCCTGGGGTGCCCAGCTCCTTCCAGGCCCTGGAGTTGGAGTGAGCCCTCATGGGGAGGGGCATGCAGGGGCTCAGCCCCCAATGGCAGTCCCTTCCCCCCTAGCCTGGCCACGCCCACCCTGTTAGACCTGGGGTGGGGTGGGGTGGGGTGTGGGTAAGGAGGCAGCGCTCTGCTGCACCAGCTGGCTTACCCCAGAATCAGCCCTGCCTGACCCATAGTCACCTTTCGAGGCCTTCCGACGCAGAACTGTTTGGATAAGATGCTCAGAGCCATGGTGGGACCTGCTCCATGTGGCCAGTAGCCTCTGCTCTTCAGGCAGGGGTGAGGAGGGTGGACGAGACCAGTGGGTCTGCTTTGAAGTCTCTGCACAAAGCTGGGTGTGGCCACCAGAGCCTGGTGACTTGCTGGTTGCCTGGGCGGGTCCTTGGGGAATCCAGGGAGAAAACAAGCTCTGTTCCCGGGGCAGAGGTCTCAGGGGCCTACACAGGGAAAGTTGTGAATCCATGCGGGCTATAAGGGCCACATTTTGTGAAAGGACACTCCTGAGGGCAGAGGTCAAAGGGCACTTGTGGAGCCTGGGAAGGGCCCTGAGGATGACGGCAGGGTGGGGGCTGGGGAATGGAGTCAGGACCAGGTTTGAACTCTTCACTGGATTGAGTCTGACAGCAACCAGACAGGCCCACGGGAAATGAGGAGCATGTCACCTGCCAGGCTCAGTGACAGGTGTCAGGTGTCCTTCAGGGTCCACAGCTGCTGCTGGGCTCTCCCCAGAAGCCCCATTCCTGCTTGCCTGGTTTTGGAGCGGCAGCGAGGTGGCTAGAGGAAGGTCCGAATCCTGCTGCCGCCGGCGGAAAACAGCTCCATCACTGGGCAGTGAGTTGCTCCTTCCGGGCCTCAGCTTCCTCACCTGTCAAATGGACACAGCGTGTGGATGATGGAGGCCCATGCAGGAAAGGAGAGCAAAAACCCTCAGAGGTGGGCAGAGCAGGGGGCTAACGGTGCCAGCCTTGGGCATACTGGCACTGCCTCGGAGCTGTTGGGCCTCAGGCAGGTTTGTGCAACTCTGTGTGCCTCACTTTCTGCCTCTGTAAATGCTGAGGAGAGGAATCCCCACCGGCCAGGTGCTCTGAGTGCCCAGCAGTGCCAGGAGACTTCTAAGGCACTCGCCCTGGGTAAGCACCCTGGGAAGGGATGGTCGGACCGCCCCGCCCATGGTGCTGAACTGACTCTAGTTCATGCAGTTGCGTTTGTGATCAGCAAGATTTTATAATGCTTTTGCAAACATGGAGGCTTTTACTCCGAGTGAGCAGAGAACAATTTAAAATAAGTACTGTTTCAAGCCAAGTCTCTGAACAGTGGCCCTCAGCCGGGGCGGCTTTGCCTCCTGACTCGAGGTGGCATTCGGCCATGTCTGCAGGCAGTGTTGGCTGGGTGCTGCTGGCATCAAGGGGGCAGGGGCCAGGGACTCTGCTCAACCCCCGTAATGCACAAGAGCCCCCAGGCCAGAGCCATGGGCTCCAGGTGCTGGTGGTGCTGAGTGGAGCACTGCCCAGGAAGCCCTTGCACTTGGCCCGGCTTCTTCTTCATTCGGTGGGGGTTATAGGAGCCCCCGAGACCTCCTGCTGAGAGGGCCCCATCCTGCCTGGGTTCTGTGTATCTCACCAGCTCTCGGGTGCCTCCCAGGGGTGAAAGGAGCCACGTGGGCACTTCCCAGCAGACACTCCGGACACCCGGAGAGGTGGTTCAGCCACAGTCAGCTCCGTTCTGCAGATGGGAAGCCAGGCCCAGCAAGGGAGGCCATCCAGCCCTGGCAGGGAATAAGGAGTGTCTGCCCTGAACCAGCCTCTGTTGTGCTACGCAGTTAGTGAAGAAGACCCACAGGCTCATAGGACCTGGTGGAGCCCCTGCCCCTTCCTTTGCACTGGCTCCGTCCCCAAGAGGGGCTTGGGTGGCCAGGCCAGGTTGGAAAATGCCTGGGCCCATTTCAGAGAAGGTGCCTGTAGAGAGCCTTCCTTGGGGTTCTGTCCCCTGCAGGGGCCAGCAGGGCCTGGGTGTGGCCCACTGGACCCTGAGCCACTTGGGGGGAGTTCGCTCCTTGGCTTGCTAGTGCTTCCCAGGCCATCGGAGGCGGCAATGACATCTCCCCAGCCATAACATCTCTAGATGAGGAAACGGAGGCCTATATCGTGGGGGTGCCGCTGGACTGAGGCAGGTCCTGGATTCCTATTGGGACACTGGTCCTGTCACTCTGGGCACTAGTGGGATGTCCAGAGGTGAGGCTAAGCTCAGCAGTCCTCCCTGAGGGCACATTCGTCCTCCAGTTTGGGCTTCAGAGTGTCCCTGCTCTGGGACTCTCCCCTCGGAGTCTCATTTCCTTACCTGGGCAGAGGGGCAATGTCCCCACAGGTCGGGGGGCCTAGGGAAATCTGGAGCTCATAGTGACATGGGAACAATGAGCGTGTGACGGACCTCCAGGTGCCTGGCACCGCGTCCTCCCGCTCACACGTGTGACCCGCTTCATCCTCCCCTTGAGCTCTGGGCCATGAGCTCTGGGCCAAGGAGCCAGGCAGCGGCTGAGGCGGGCCTGGAAGGCGGCCTGGTGCCCAGGCGGCTCCTCTCCGCCCTCTGCTGTGGCTCGGCCGCAGCCTCTCCAGCTCACCAGAGCCGCCTTTGGCCACAGGCCCTGGGGGGAGCCCAGCCCCTTCCTCCCCTGGACCCCACAGTGGCAGGGGAGGGACATGCTGGGAGGAGCAGGGAGGCCTGTGTCCTCAAATGTGTTCCACGTCCTCTCCCAAGGGAGACCCTCTGCTGGCATCCTCCTGGGCTGTCACATACCAGGTGTGAGGTGAGGGGAGCGGTGGCCCCTGGCAGTTCCCTGGGAAACCTGGGGGATTGGCACAGACTCTCCCCCTCCCTGCCTGATGCTGCCCAGGGCCAGGGCTCCAGACAGGCCTGCAGCCTGGGTGGTTCCCTCTGCTCTCCACCGCACACCCTGTCTTCCAGGAAGACCCATCTAAAGCCCTGGTTTAGGCAGCGTCTGATGTGTGCCGTTTCCCAATGCTCTGGGCCTCAGCTCCGGACCCCACCTGAGAAGGCGAGAAGGGTCTATTTATAGGGACTCACTGGGAGGCTGCGAGGCCCTGCGGGATCCCTCTTGCTGCCGAGGTGCATTGGCTATGCTGGAAATGCCCGCACAGTTACAGGCCCTGTCCTTGGAGGTGATGACCACGGACAGGGGCCTCTGCCTGCGGCCCTTCTTTGAAGAAATGCCTAGAGGTCCCGTTCCCAAGTGCCGGCCAGTAGCCACCCTGGGCAGGACTGGCTCCTCTGGGGAGCTGTTGGTAGCAGGCTCTGGTTCTGACAGGTGCTGGGCCCCCAGGAGTTGTGCTGGCCTGTCCACTGCCCTTTAGTGGTCTCTTCTGGGGCAGGGGTGGCATTCCGCTTGAAAGCTGAGTTCCAGAAGTTGAGTGGCCCACCGTCAGGGCTGAGTCTGTCGCAGTGGCGGGGAGTGTGCTGGAGGAGCACCCAGTGGGGCGGGTGCCTCAGGGTCCGGGGAGCTTCGGCAGCCCTCTGAGAAGCGAGATGGCATCCTCCCTGTGGAGGAGCGGACACAGCTGGGGCACCCCATGGGCTTGGTGACAGCCAGGCAGGGCCGCAGGCCTGAGGAGGAGGAAGCAGACCAGGGACACCCAGCCAGGGACATCTCGGTGGGAGGTGGCATCCTGTCCGAGGCTGTCCACTTGGGCTGCTCCTGGCCTCTTCTCCCTTCTCCTCCTCGAGTTTCCTCATGGCTGTCATGTGTGATATCTCAGTAGATTTTAACACAGAAGCGGGTGCGAGACCCCAGGGGGCTCTATTAAGCCAGCCATGACAGGGACCCAAGAATGTCAGCCAGTGTCACTCTTTTCGTGGAATACTTTTGTTTTGGAAAACACATTTTGTTTTTGTGAGTAATGTATCATTTATATTAACAACACAATGGGTTTATCCTTTTTAAGTAAATAT